ATAATCTTTTTACGAATGACGAGCGATGACTAAAATTTGTTCAAGATCATTCAGGGTGATGATCTTGACAATATATGTCAAGGTCAAGGTCATCGAAGGGATGGTCCGTATCTATGCAATTATCCAATTTTAATGAAATAATTAAAATTTATATTTTATTCAGTATTTTATCATTCTGCAGTATTTTAATTATCCTTTTTCGTTATAACATTCTTTTTTCCAGTAGTCATTTATTTTTTATGGTCTAAACATTATTTGGTCTAAACATAGTTACTATTGCAAAAATTGCAAAATAGTGCAGCACTTTTCAACAGACCGCTCAGTTCGGTTTCACTCTATCTGCTCACGAGAGGTGATCCAGTCATTATCGGACACCTTGAATAAACATTTGACACACACACACACACACACACACACACGCGCGCGCGCGCGCGCGCGCGCATATATACATACGTATATACATATATACATAAAATAAGTATACAAGTATACAGGATATATACTGAGTACGCACTAAAAGATTTTTATGGGTGATTCCTCACACATAGGGATGGGCGATAGTATCGATTATATTAAGATCAATCTTTTTCTACGAAATAATCGATGATTTTAACCAATGTTATAGAATTAATTGATACATCGAGATGGATCTTTTACATCAAGGTTTTTGCATAATATTACCTTATTATATGTACTTTTTGTTCAACTCTTAAGACTATGTTAGAATTCCTATCTAGGTATCAGTTTATCTTTGTTGTGTTCACCGATTATTAAACAAGGATAACATAATACCTGAAGAATATTTGAGTGGTAATCTGAACGTGCCGTAAGAGGCACGCTAGTCGCGCCTTTTTCTTTTGAGTAATGAGATTGACATAACTTATGGTGGAATTGTCATGGTTGCATAACTGACGTTGCCAATAATGCCAATTATCATTTTTCGGGACAAAGCTGCAATGTAAATAACAAACTTTCATTTCATCTGTGATTGTGGGTGTTTATGCGTTATGCAGCGTTAAGGCCATGGCACACAAAAAAATTTAAGTAGTGAAATGTAAGCGGTAAGCAAATTGGCCAATCACAATAAGGATCATAAGATCATAATGTAAGCAGGAGCCAATCCAATACGTTGATTTCCTTATTATAATACTTCCCATATAGCACTGATTGTTGCAAGAAACTTTCAGTAAGGTTTCAAAATCATTTCGATCTTTCACATTTCATGTGCAATAATTCTGAAAGAATTTTGAAATATGTTATGTAAAATGTTGCAACAGAAATGTTTCTGAAATTGTTCACATGAAAATAATTTTATAAAACTTTCAGTTGAGTTATATTTGAGACATTTCATATGAAAAGAAGTTCCAAACCTTGCAATTGAGCTGTTTCTGAAATTTCTCACATGGAATAAATTTTAAATGTTTCAATTGAGTTATTTCTGAAATATTTCACATGAAATCGTTTTGCAAACCTTTCAGTTAAGTTATTTCTGAAATTTTTGCAATAAATTACACATGCAATAAATTACACATCTCCGCCAACAGAGGGCCGCGGCGGAGAGCATTTACTCGTAAACAAGAATCACTTGGACGAGAATATAAAAAGCGCAGTTTTTCACTTGTAAAGTGAGCCCCAAAATTGAGCTCCAAGGTGAAAGCATATGAAGTGTATTTTTCAAAGCAAAATTTGGTAATGACCCTAACAGAAATTTAATATTGGAAGGTAGTGCTCATTATACAATAATTACTTCTTTTTAGTATTAAATGAACTATTATTCAGTGCTTTTAACACTCAAAATAAGTCATTTTCAGTATTAAAGTAGATTAAATTAGATTTCTATGAGGTAATTCACTCTTACAAGGGAAATTTCACAACTATCCGGAACCGATTTGATTCTCCATAAAATATATTATTAAACACGAAAATCTAAGAGAGACACGTATTTTTTTTTATAGATGCCCTAACTCATTTTTAAAGGGTGAAACACCCCTTTGAAACAAAACGGTATTTTTCTTTCGAAGTGAATATCGTCGGAAGTATAAAAGATAGAAAAATTTTTTAAACAAAAGTTGTACTGTTTTAAGAGTACTTCAATGTTGTGAAAAAAAAAAATTAAAAAAATTTTTTGTTTAACAATTGTTAAACAAAACTTCCCTTGTTAGTGTTATGTTTGTTCTTATCTACACATGAAAACTGTATACTGTTCTTATTAACAATTGGATATTAACAATTTTATATGCTATATAAAAAAGTCTATACTTGGAATCTTTCTTATTAACGTTCTTATTAACAATTGGGTATAATCAACTGAATGGAATTGTTTTTTTTATGTGATGAGTTTTAAGTAATGTTTAAGAATTGTTTTTAATTCCAACTTTCAAATTTATAATAATAAAAATCAATAAAAACTGTAAAAATCAGTATTCGTAAATCATTTTATTTATTTATTAATTAAAAAAACATTAATTTTTATCAACATCGATGTTTTTTCTTCGATGAATCGATTAATTAAAAATCGGTTTGCATAATAATCAATTATTATATTTTCCTTAAACATCGCTCATTCCTACTCACACAAATTTAAGACGAAAACTTCATATGACCATATGTTTGAAACGGCTTAATTTCAAATATGTCAGAGTTGAAAGAAAAATTTCTTTTTTAAAAATTTCGAAAATCACTCGAATTATTTTGATAAAAATTTGTGTATGTATAAAGTTTCATCAAAATAACTTGAATAGCTTTTAATGTTAAAAAAAAAAAACGAAAATTTGAACACCCAGTAACTTTTTTAAACTAAGCCGTTTCGAACATAAGGTCATATGAAGTTTTTATTTTAAATTTTTTATGTGATGAATCATCATCTCTTAAAATCTTTTACTTAGTATTACTTATTGTTAGTATACACCTTTTGTATGTATATATGTATATATATATATATATGTGTGTATGTAATTATGATCACAGAGGCTGCGGTCCACTTGACGCTACAAACGCTTCGAAGCATTCTTTGATTAGTTAATTCGTAAAATTCTTTGTTCTGATTGATCGCTCAGACACTTCGAAACGTTTGTAGCGTCAAGTGGACCGCAGCCATAATGCTCGTTGCGTTTGAAGAGACATCGGATGTTGTGGGTGCAATTTATGACGAGTTTTAATATACATATTTCGATAGATTCGCTATCACACTAGTGTCCGAAGGTTTTCAAATTTCGATAACTTTAACACGTACAGTGAGTGCTAAAAGTATTCGTACACAGAGAAAATATTTTTTAAAGAAACTTTATTTTTAAAAAGTAAATATTGTCCAGCGAGAAATGAGTCATCGAATTGATGTTGAATCGATATCGATACAATGATTTCAACACTAATTTGACATCGATTCGACATTTAATTGACGATCATGTTGGGTAATTGACAATTTATTCATAAAGAATAAAATAAACTGTATATTTCTTAAAATTATATATACTAAAAAGATGTGTATTAATTATAGAAAATATATCATCTGAAAAATAAACGAAAATAAAAAATTGTATTGTTTAGATGCTCAAAAAGTATTCGTACAATCGTGAAATTTAGCTTCTAAAATCAGGAATACATGCGAAGCTCATTTGTTTATGTTAGAACAAAATGTATTTGTATAAAATTGCTAATTAATGTTTATTTTCTACAAATAAGACTTATATTTTATTTACAAATTTATATACAAATTTCCTTGTAGGAATATTTTTTGCTCTCACTGTAGTTAGATGATTCCGTACAGTAGAGAATAGTAGAATGATAGAATCGCCACAGATTAAGAATAGCAGGGCTGGATAATATTTAAAATAGTTCTATTTTAAATATGTATTTAAAATGGAAAATTTTGCATTTTCCATTTTAAATGGTTTTTGGAAAACCATTTTCATTTTACATTTGAAATGGAATCATTTAATGTCTATCATTTATAAAATAGGTAAATGGTTTTTCTATGTTTTCACAAATTTTCCTTAGAATCATTGACACAAGAAGAACCAAATCCCATGATTGGCCAAAGATTTTCATGAATGTTCAAATAAACTACAAATTAAACTGTAAAGAGAAAATCAATTCCAGACAGTCCATAAATATCGAATCTTAATAAAAAATGAGTGTTCCAGCTTTATGTAAAATACTATATACATTTCTAAAAATGTATATTACTCTTAACATCTAATTTTGAACGTAACAGCTTCTCGTTTAATAAATTAATTTGCTTTTCTTCGTATTAATTTGTTTCCAAATCATAATATTAAAAAATTTTAAATATTCCCGTTAGAAATACTTTATTTATAATACAGTAGTCAGGGCTTCGAATTCTGTTGAAAATGGATTTCAAACGTAAAATATTTTTAAAAATGTACATCATCCTGGCGGAAAGTTTTTACTTTCCGGAAAAACTATATAGGTTGAAACAAGATCTTAAAAATTCTTAGTTTTTCGTAGATATTCGTAGTGGAACGTAAAGTAGTGTTGTTTGTTTGAAAAACCAAGAAATCCTCCGCCCACAAACAACGCCAGTACGTCCTACTACGAATATTTACGAAATACTATGGATTTCTGAGACAAACAAACACCTCTCATTCTATGTCCCACTACGAATATCTTCGAAAAATTAAGAATTTCTAAGATCTTGTCTCAATATGTTATATAGTTTTCCTGTACTTTTCCGTAAAAATTTTTTTCCGCTATAGCACGAAAAACCATTTTGCATTTGAAAATCATTTAAAATATCTATTTATTCAGTTTACATTTAAAATGGATTCGAAAAACCTATTTTGCATTTCGCATTTTAAATATATCTACTTTTTAAAAGTATTTTATAGTTATTATATAGTATTTTAAATGGAATTCGAAAGGCATTTTACCCAGCCCTGAAGAATAGTCATCTCGCTAATTTCGCTAATCAGAAACTGTTTAGCTTTTGAAGATGAACATCCACAAGTACGACTTGTATATCATCAAATTCTTACATAGTATATTGGGAGAGTAGAATACGAGGGGTGATTATAGTGATCGACGCTTCGGGTCAAATAGTGCACCAAGCAAGCACCACCTTCTTAAACGGAACGAAGATTGCTCGATCCGGATCGCTGTTAATGACATTTATTCTTGATTAAAATATAAATGAAGGATTTATTAACTTCCAATTTAATGAAATATGTTCTATATGGCATATATCCAGAAATATTAAAGACAAAAAGGTATTACAAAATAGCCTTTTAGTGAAATTATGTAAAAATTTAGAGAAACAAATAGAAAAGAAGGCTAATTTAATTTTATAATTTTTTTTTTATAATATTAAAAAATTCTACTATTCTTCTATGTTATACGTGTAGTTTTAAATGAAAGAAGTGTTGTTCTCTAAATCTTTATTCGTAATAATGTCTGCAAAATATTTTACATTTAAAAAATTATTTCATAAGCTTACCAATCGAAAAATCTTCTGCCATGAAAAGTACCATCAGATGAACCATTGACATATGGCAGTTCCACTCCCACATGCGTGTCTTCTCGACCTGGAACAGGACCTACATATCTCACGCGACCTTGGAGGACTCTGCCTTCCGGTGATATAACTTTCACAAGATGATCCAGTTTGAGATCTCTTGGTGTCTGGAAGGTGCAAGAAAATAAAAATTCGAGCAATTATATATTTAAATAACAATTAAAATATAAATAATTCTCGTAACGCGCATATTTCAGGTAGCGCAAAAAATAACAATTGAAATTGAAAAAGATTAAATCAATAAAGGATAACCCTGGTGAAAAAGTTTCGCTGAAATTATTTCACGTTTTGGAACATTTCAGCGGAATTGCTGAAAATTTGCTGAAACTTCACTGAAAGTGAATTTTTCAGCTAACACACTGAAAAATCACTGAAATCCAACCGAAATTTCTCTGAAATTCTTGCTGAAATTTGTCTGAAAATTTTGCTGAATTTTTTTGAAATTTTGTCGAAAATAAATTTTTCAGCTAAAAATCGCTGAAATTAAACTGAAATTTTTTTGAAATGCTGAAATTTTGTTGAAAAGTGTTCCAAAACGTGGAATAATTTCAGCAACATTTTTCCACCAGGAAAGTAATGCTAATGAGAGACACAGCTGAACATGTGTAATTTAAACATAATATATATGTCAATTACCAATTACAGACATTTCAACCATAAGATTAGGTCATCCTCAGTGCATAAGCAACAAATATCGGAGTTATTACGTTAGAAATTAATACGTTAGAAAAAGATAGGCGAGCAAAGTGTACATTCATTGAATCATCGTTAGGCTGTTGTCCAACATTAAAAACTACAATTGTCGTCTGTCGTATTTATCTGAATACTCAAACCAAAATTCCGTAATTTAACTAAAATATCGAGTTAATACTTGAAATTTTTGAAATGATTTCAGTAGTAATAATATGGGGGATTCAAACCCACGGATACAGCAACCAGCAGGTGGCGCCTGCGTCGCGGGAATGACGAATCACTGGATCGACCTCCATGGGGGCATTCTCGGTGAGAGCGTCTTCATCCCCAATTTCCTCAGCGGGAGCGTCGTTTTTTTCCTCCTCCTCCTCCTCCTCCTCCTCCTTAATTACCATCACACTTCGAAGTTCAACACGGTTCAAAATATTTCATAATAACTATTGGTCTGTTCTTGCACTAGAACTTTCTTTCTCACTTTCAACAAATATCGAACATGTTCCTATCTTACTTTAAGCTCCAAAAGTGTACACCAGTTCAACGACAGAAAACAGAGGAAAGTCCCAGATGCGCACAAAAAATATCGGACACATAACGATCCCAATCAGATACAAGTTAAAACGGACACAAGTTAAACGGGTAAAAATTCTCACATCCCGAATTCCAAATGGGTTTTTAGTGCCTCTAAAAAGACTGTTCTCACACTCCACTGTCTTCATGTGTTAAAAATATTCCAAGCGGACATTGTCCCAGCTGCAACTTCCATGCGGTTAGGCCCCAAGCGGGTAGGATATGTTAATTTTTTTTGTTCGGGGCGGCGTAGCTCCGAATTAGGACTGTGTCCGATTGGGTCCATCGTGTATCCGTTTTAATCTGTGTCCGATTGGAACAACTTGCTGTGTCCGATATTTTTTGTGCGCATCTGGGACCTTCACAAAACAGATCTTATAATAATTATAATACAAGAAACCACACCGCCTCGCTCGCGTGCGCGGACAAGACTGACGCCGAGAAGCATTCTTCGCTATAGCGAGGCTGCCCGGAATTTATCTACAAGCGACCGTTATACATAAAACAAGTCAAGTCAAAAGTGCTGCCATGAGAAGATCGGTGTCGTCAGTTCAGAGGCAGTTGCCTTTATGTATAGAGCATCCAGCTATCAAATGCTGCCTTTATATGTATTGCAATTTTAGGTATTGGACAGCGCCGCTTGTCGCCACCACCGTGCGCGCTATGTCATATACTTAGCATTTTTCTCTGGTTGCCCGTTGCCGTCTTCTCCTATGTATTTCTCTTTTTCTTCTCACACACAAAAACATTTGACATGTCACGACATGTCCGGACGATGACATCATCAATGTAATTTTGATACAATTGCGACGTTGTCAAGTAGTGCGCATAATGATATAAAATGAAAAGACCGAGATGCATTGCGATGTTGCATCTCGGTGCTCATCGAAGTAGTGTGCATGACATAAAAATGAAAAGATTTAGGGTGATTGAACTGGTGTACACTTTTGGAACTTAAAGATAAGAACATACTTGTTGAAAGTGAGAAAGAAAGTTCTAGTGCGTGATTGCTGTATCCGTGGGTTAGAATCCCCATAGTATTACTACTGATTTCCGTAGTCGATGAGTTGAAATTTATTAAATCAGTTGAAAAACTTACATTAATTTCAGCATAACGATGGTCCGTTATAATGTGATTATACTTGTATCTTGGGAACGTATGAGAGGACATTTTGTATTCTCTCTGGTGCGTTTCGTTGCACGCATAATGCACATAGACTACATAGAGAACCGTTCCGTTTCAATTAATGCGCGCATCAATGAATACCGATAACGCACATATTTCCCTAGGTTCTCCCCACGTCTCATGCATCAATTACAGCAGCTCGAACGTGAAACATTTAATGCGAAGTTGATGCGTCTAAAAAAAATTCAAAAGCCTGTTGTCGCCTTTTGCTCGGATTTATAGTGTAATAATAGGCGATTTTTGGCGTGCTTCTGGTATAGCAACCAAAAGCACGCCAAAATTCGTCTTATTATAATGGAAAGTGATTTAATCGAATTTCTCCAGTCATCATTGACGAGAGTAACGAAGTTCTCACCCTCTTTATCAACCAAGAAACTGCTGGCTACTTAAAATATACCAAGAAATGAGGGCTACTTAAAATATATACAATCTCATATCTTAAAATATATACAATATCATATGTAATAACCTCAACAATAAATATCTTAGGCTCAGTTTCACAATTCACCGTTGAACCTCTTAATCGAGGTTCAACCTTTTCATCCCTTTCGAATTCTGGCATTAGAAAGAGATGAGGAATAAGTTAAACCTCGGTTAAGAATTAACCATGAATTGTGAAACTGGGCCTTACGCCTGTTCCTATCAGTGTAGATTAATTTTAATCTTAGTTTAACTTACTTTTTATCGTTTTCAAGAATTAGAAAAAGATAAAGAATAAATTATACGAAAATTAAAGTTAATTTACATTGGTAGAAATGGACATTATGTCGTCCATGGTAGCATCTATTTTTGATTTGCATCAAACACATGGTAAACTCTTCCGTTTCCAAGCGCGCATCATGCGTATTAACGAAACGGAACAATATTAATGTGCGCAGCACATTGAATGTGATCTATGCATTCAATGCATGCAACGGAACGCACCCCCAGTGTTTGTATGTACGAATATTAAACAGAATAAGAATAAATATCAACATAAAAAAATCAGTAATACAAATTTTTAACTTATAAAACAAGAAAACACTATTCTTTCTTAACTAAATCATGATATAACGGATGCAATTATTCCGTATCATTTTGTAAATTAATTCCATTTTTTATTTATATATTTATATATTTATATATTTAAAATATTCAGAATTAAATAATTAAAACGTAAAAAAATTACGAATATAACAATACCTTTGGCAAATATGGTTTGGCATCCTGAGAAGGATGCCAATCGCGTATCAAGTTCGGCTCCGAATGCCTTCGCGTTCTTCTTCGTCTTGTTGTCTGTTTGTTCCAATAATCCGTACTGATGCTTGATATTGTTAACATAGAATCAATACTTCGCCGCAGATAATCCTCGGCTTCATCGATTAACGATTCAGTAGAGTCTCCACTATTTTCACCGCCGACTGAGTCTGAATGCAAGTTGGGTAAACTACCGCGCGTCAATGGACACTCTGAAAGTTTCATATTGAACTCACTATATCGGAATCGATGTAAATTTTTTCTTGATTTAACTATCATTTTTTTCATTAATCTAAATATTTATTTATCGTAAGTAAATATTCCGCTAGGACTATTCAAAGAAATATTTATTAAAATTTAATAAATTTTTTTCTCAGTGTATACGCGTCCCGCGACTACACTTAAACACCGCGGCTCGACTGTTCGCTGTCCCCCGACTTGCGCATCTCGCGACATTGCGCTGCGAGTTTAGTCTGCGACGAGTTTCGCCGGCATTACACAAACACTCCATTACACGCACACACACGCACAACATGCACACACACGACACACAAACGCGCTGAGCAGAGCATACAGGCCGACGCTTACGGCCAGCGACCGCGCCAAATTACACTGTATTATATTTCGGCTTTCAATAAAGTTATCATTATTGTTTTTCTTTATAATCACGCCTCGTTTGTTGTACCTTCTCTCCCCACCACGAACCTCTTTCGCGTTCCGACCGACTGTAGAAACCCGACGCTAATTCGTGCGACGAAAGTGAGGTTGTTACAAGGTCATGACTCTGAGTGACTTCTAACAGGTTTTAGCCGTTGCTCATTATTAGTTAAAAAGTTATTAACAAAAACCTGCGCGCGCGCGCACACACAGAGACACGCACGCATACACACATACACGTGATTTGACAAAATGCTTGTGTAAATAGAGCGGATTAAAGTGGATCGAAAAATCTTATACAATTTTGCAATTTTCGCAACAGTTGACAAGAAATTTATTACTAAAGATCGCCGAATGAGCGCTTAGTCGTTCGGTCTACCAAATTCGCGGAGATACGATCATCCTACGCGTGAAGGTGTTTCCTTTCGCCACTTGTATGATGCTATTGTCGCTTGTAGTAAACAACTCCCCAACTTATGATGCTGAACGGTTATAAGTCCTATCTCGCTGCGCATTTGAATTTAGCAGTAAACTGAGAGGATACGCGCTCATTCTGTGATTTTTAATAATTAATTTCTCTAGTTAACTCTATTGCAAAAATTGTGAAACGGTACAGGATCTTTCGACTCAATTTATTCTGCTCTATCTACATGAGTATTTTGTATATACCGTACCTTGAAAAGTCACCTTGGATCGTGTTCTCTTTGGTGTGTTTTTCGAAGTTTTGGAGAAAGTCGGTGGAGGATGTATGTGTGTTGGAGAAGATGGCATCGAGGACCATGTCGGACGTGGTGTGGAAGTCGCAACCGGAACTCTCCATGTGTCGAGGGATGCCGCTGTCGCTCTCCAGGAATGTCTTCGCGGAGGATCCCCGGCAACTTCGAGACCGGGCGACGGTATCGATGTTAGAGAGCCGCGATATCGCGAAGAATACAGATCAGTTGATAACCGACAGTCACAGGGACTCGGCAGACCTGTTGTGGGATTGCAACGAAGCCAATATCCTGCAGGAGAGCCTAAGGATTCGCGTCTTTGAGCTTCGGATGTACGAAGGCCACAGCCGCGTGAACTAAAACACGTCTAAAGAAGGAAAATCATTAAACTTAACTTCTCATGGATTCTTTAGGAAATCTAAAATTCACTTCTATGCAGTTTTTAATTCAATGATTCAAAATTTTCGTTGCTTTTCACCCTGATGAAGTAAACTGCAATGTTTATAAAACGTTGGCATTTAACGATGTATGAATATAACACAGAGATAATTCGTAAAGCGCTTCCTTGAAAACTATTACTAATAACTTTTGTTTCTAACTTTTTCAATAGTTTATGTTTTAATTTCACCTGTGCATGTGGCTCATGGCACAGGTGATCTGCACTTCTTGATAATTCTGGTACCATGCTAGTGAAACTAATGTCCGACAACATTACTCTTCTAGCTTCTCGGGTTTTGTCCGACAATCTCAGTCGGCCAGGCACTCCTGTTGGTAGCGCAAACTTGCTCGGTAATGTCGTAAAAGTATGTGCGACTTTGTGTGCGAGATAGCTTTCGGATCGCCATTGTGCTGGAAGCGCAGAGATGTCCGTCTGGACACCAGATTCTCTTCGGGCACCACTACTACGGTCCATCACCGGCCGCAATGGAACAGAACTCTTTCTCCGACTATTAGCCAGAGCTTCCCGATGAATGATAGGTCTGGAAGAATAACAATGATATAATAATACATTTAGTAATAAAATTATATAACACAATAAAAATAATAAAACGCTTCTATAAAATTAGAAATTGATAACGATAAGTAACATTTAATCAATCGATTGCTCGATTTTAAGATAAAAAATATAATCAATGTGAGAGAGAATTACGTGAACTTTGCAAGTGCAGTGTATAAACTTAAGGAGACATGAAACTTGTTAAAAAATGATTTCCTGAAGAAAATTATCTGAATTGTTATAAACCGGTAAGCCGTCGGTGGTGCAGCCAGAGTATTTCTTCTCGTGACATGTCGCAAGGATGAACCTGCCGTGCTTTCAGCATCTTCCAATATACCACACTTGCTAATGTCAGTCTCCACTAGAACGGAGCACTGCGACCACATCTTATTGAGTCTGGTACTGGAGCTCTCGTCGAACCTGTCGACACTCTCCTCGCGGTCGATGCTAGAACTCTGCGACGAGACGGCTTCCTCGACAGAACTGGTTTTGTCACCATTGCAAATTAATGACTCATTCTCTGTCGGTTTTATATATTTAAGTAAAATAGGTTGGCCGCCACCGCCATGCTGCCATGTTTCCGTCTCGGTAATAGAAACCAGATCCTCCTGCAGACCGAGATCGCGACATATCTCATCTGTTGTGAATATTAGCTCGATGTCATCCAATTCTTCAGACTCGTTCTCCGAGTGTTCGTTCGGTCTTGGCGAATCACCTGGATGACCTTGTCGAGGTATCTGAGGTTGATCTACATGATCGCTGAATACAGAATTCTCACCGTCAGAGATAGATTTCAAACTCAAGTCTTCAGGATCCTTCTCAGGAATATCTAAATGACCCATATTAGCTGCGTCACCTAAAATAACGAAAAGAATACATGTCGAAGAATTAAAGAAAATACTCTTTTTTCCATAAAAAAAAAAAAATCTAAATTTTTACAAATTTTTTAATATCTAATTTTTAAGAAAGTTTTTTAGTGACGTATTGTTATATCATTATTGTTATTATCGTGAATGCAAAATTTTGTCTTTTTTATATTATAAGACAATATATGCGCGCGCTACGCGCGCACTATTCATTTAATTCCATTATATGTGACATATGTATATTAGACTGACAAGAAAAAAAATTTTGTTTTTAATCGGCCTCTTAGCTCAAAAGCTTCCATTTCATGCCAAAAGATGAATTCACCCCTAAATTTTTATTAAAAAATATTAAGATTTAGAGGTTGCTAGTGAACGATTTTTAAATCAAAGTTTCGATTTTCCTTAATAGGTTTGATTTGATGCAAAAATAGCTTAATCTGGATTTTAAATATTGTATGTTTTTTGATATTGTAAGGTTTTTTTTGGTCGCTGAACACGATGCAATAATTCATTTAACCCTACGATATACGCCCTAAGAAATATAGTTCCCGATTAATGTGAAAAAAGAACCAAATTTCGAGTTCAAGGTTGATTTTAGCAAGGTTCTAAGCGTTCAAATAGATCGTTACTCCCCTCAAATTATAGATCTGTTCACCCAGAACAAGATCCATCCAGTTGGAATTTTCCCGGGACCTCCTACAGGGCCTTTAAAAGTTGCATTTAACTGGATTATAAAAAAGTTTTTAGAGATAGAAAAAATTTTTTTACAATTTCTAAAGTATATCGCTTTGTGGTTTTGACATCCTCAAATCAAATACCTCAATTTGACGAGAAAAAACTATTAGAAAAAGAAATGAATACATAATAAAAAAAATATAACATAATACGTAGTTTATTTCAATTAATTAAATCATATTTTTAAAGGCCCTGTAAGAGGTCCCGGGAAAATTCCAATTGGAAATGAGTACGTATAATACAAAAAAAATATGATTTCATTAATTGAATTAAACTACATAATATGTAGCTTATTTCAATTAATTAAATTATACTTTTCTGTATTATGCCTCATAACTCGAAAAGTACTTTATGAAAAAAATAACTTTATTGTAGTGTTTGAAAAACTCTTGTCACCAGCTATTAGATTCTGAAATCAAATATAGTGTGTAATTTAAAAAATCGATGTATCTTTGACCTGATCTTGGCGACGCCACCCAAGATCATACTGATCAGATCAGTGAATGGATCATTTAAAACTCTACAACTTTTGTAAGAAACATTTCTTTCAGAAATGCCTAGTTTTCCAGATATTTCACCCGCACGGGACTTTTTACTCACCCTGTGTGTGTATATGTACTCTCATGAAAAATTTCTCATATACATATAATTATATATGAAATATGTCCATACATCTTAAATCTTTCTTTCTTTTGTAAAGTTACTGTTTAATGTAAGAAAAAAAATAATAATAATGAGAAAACAAAAATCATTAAAAGGATAATTTTCGCATTGTTTAAAAAAAAAAACAAATATAGAGAAATTAAAAAAATCGCTTATATAATTATACACTTACATAATTATATATAAATCATTAGATACAATGATATATAAGCAATTTTTTTACATTTTCCAAACTTGATTTTGCTATATATAAAAAAAAACCAATATAAATTGATGCGAAAATTATCCTTTCGATTATTTTTTTTTTTTATACTAAACGGTATAAAAAAACGGTAACAAAAGAAAGAAGAATGTATGGACATGTGTATGGACATATTTTGTATACGTATAATCATATATATAAAATATGTCCATAAAATAATATATTTATTTATGTTCATATATTTATATATGAAAAATTTTTCATATAAATTCAGAGCTCATGTTCACACGTAGCATATTCATATATTGTATCTAGAGCATATAAATATGCAAAATTCTTTAATTTTTAACACAAACTATAAAAATCAATCTCTTAAACGGTCTAGCTGGATCTTAAATGCTTGTATAATTCTGTATAAATTTATATACTACGTGTGTAGTATATAATATGTAGTATATAAACGCGCGCTGAAATGATTTTTTGAAAAACTAACTCTACTAAACTACCGCAGTAATATCACGAGTTAAATTGACTAGCAATTTAATTTAATTTAACAATTTGATGCTTTTTCGCATCTTTCGAAAAAATCATTTCGGCGCGCGTTTCAAAGGACTACATATGTAGTATATAAATTCACACAGAATCATACAAGCATTTAAGATCCAGCTAGACCGTTTAAGATATTGCTGTCTACAATTTGTTATCACTTATACAGTCTTAATATATTATATTGTTTATTTACGACGCCTAAATAGATGTTATTCCTTCATATGCCAATTATTGCGAGGAATATTACTAAGGCCTCGGTGGTCTAACTAAAGGCTTAAGATGCTCGCCCGGAAAGCAAGAGATCTGGGTTCGACTCCCGGCCGAGGTAATTTTTTTCGCAATAAGAATTAATTATTTTGAGATTTTAATGTCATTCAGCATTATTAAGATCGCTCGAAGATGCGAAAAAGCATCAAATTGTTAAATTGCTAGTCAATTTAACTCGTGATATTACTGTGGTAGTTTAGTAGAATTAGTGTTTCAAGACCGAAAAAATCATTTCGGCGCGCGTTTAAGATCCATCTAGACCGTTTAAGGCATTGATTTCTATAGTTTGTTATCACATACGGTCCTATAATATTATGTTCTCTAATTTTTGTATTTAGCAAATTCTGAAAACCATACAAAGAACGTATAATTTTAACATCAGATTCAGAGTGTTTAACGAACAAAATTATAATAATAAACTTTTTAACCTTTTTAAGTAATCTCAATTCGAATTAATAAGGCCTTTATTCTGTAACTCTAACGACAGTAATAAGATATCATTATATTGTCGTTGCGCAGATTTTATACGTGGTAAAAAAGCTGCGCGACAACAATACAATGACGTTACTGTCATTAATATGAGTTATAAAATAACTAAATAAGGATCTAAAAATCGATAAACAGTTAAAATATCGCACGACATCCGCTCACGATACAAAGTTATGCACGCGATGCGATCGAGCTCTAAACAACCAATCCGCATCGCGGAAAAGGGGCAACAATGAATTCGATTATCGATTTAACACGCACATTTTACTATAAATAGGAAGGAATATTTATATATTGTTAGGAGATTGTTTTACCTGATATTTCCACTCGAGACTCTTCCTCGTTGTTAGTCACATTCGTTGTCAAAGTTGGAGATTTGTGATTCTCATTTTGAGAAACGTTCAGAATCGTGGACGCCGCCTCTGTAATTTTAGTATTGATTATATCTTTGGTAATTGTGATTTTCGAATATTTCGATAAATCTTGGAACTTGTCGGATTGGCCAGCACGAGAAGACGGATCAGGACCATTGTTGTTGCTGCTATTAACCTTGCTGTGTTCAGATACTGGTTCATTAAACGAGTTCTGAGCATCAGTAGCAATCTTCTTGGACACATCCATAGTAGTTTTCTCAGGATCTGTCGGTTCGCTGTTATACGAATAAATTTGATGAATTTGTTATTGATTTGTTGATTGAATTCTTGCGCCAAAGAAATTCATTTCCTATGATAACAATTAAACCAATTTGCTAAACTTACTTCATATGGACTTCTACAAGTTGAACGTGTCTCGATTGAAGTGGAGGACTAGTCGCTGCATCGCACGAAAATTCACAGCTCCTACTCAGGATCTTTCGTCTGAGCACATGATTTTCGAGGGCTAAACGGCTCACCGCATCAATGTAGCTCTCGCCGCAAAAATTCCCGACGCTCTCTTGCAGTCGCCGGAGCTCCTCGCGCGATGAGTCCAGAGCCGAGCGCAGTGACACGACTGTCTACATCATGAAGACAAGTCGTAGAAATTTTTTATTTTGATGACAGATGTGCAGTAATAAAAAATTCCAACCTTATATGTTTCAATGATTTCGTTAAATATATAATCTACAGCAGGTAATTGAATACAAATACACTTCTTTTGATTCAGAGATATACTACAGAATTTAATGAACAAAAAGATTTAAAATCTGCAATAAGAAATGATTATAACTCAAAATCTACAAAAGATCTAAAAAAATTTCAAAAAGTTTATATATAGAGTCTCTGTAACAGAGTCTGGCTACGAGATAACAAACTTTTGATCCCGTCGTTTTTGTCAACTTCAGTAGGTTAATAAAACAACATATAAAGGAGATAGTACTGTCTTTCTTAGGGTGTCCAACCATATCTGGATAATCAATTCAAGGATAATTTCAGGACATTCCAGGTAAAAATCCTGGTTTTTCTAGATTAAAAACAATAAGAATCTTATTGAACTGTACATTTGAAAACTCAACAAATAGGAAATAGGAAATACTGGCCAAAACGGTCGAAGCTAAATCTTTTAATGTTTAAATAAGGGTGCTGTCCCATGACAGGCGGAATTTCGGAAAACGGAATCTCGGAAAAGTAATAGAGTGGGGTTTAATCAATCAGAATTATTGGGATGCATTACTGTTCGTCTGTACATATACGTTTTAAATACAAAATTATCGAAATTGAATTTTTATACATATAAAAAGAAATTCATTATTAATAAATAATTGTTCGATAAATAGGGGAGATCGGGACAAATTGTTAGACTTGTGGTACACATTTACAAACTGCAGAATATTTATGGCATATTATTATTATTATTTTATGACAAATTGGCAAAGACACTCTCTTTGCTATTGTCTTCTAAGAGAAGTAATGATTTTAAATCATTAAAATCATCTGGTATGTGTTGTGAGTGGATTTGTACTCGGATCTATGGCATAGAAAGCACGGGGCAAGTTGTTACAGTTAGTTTTTTTAATTGTCACAGGTGGCAGCACATTTTTATGAATTTTTACATGTGATTCTTACGATACTCTACAATTTCACTTAGTTTAGCCGCCATATTTGAACTCTAGAAGATGCTACGTATATTTTCTTGATTTTACTATTAAAAGTAAATATTTCATTATGTATATCTTGAATAACATATCAGTTATTTTTCATTTTAATATATTATTAAATTTAGATAATATACACTTTATGTATGTTTACTTTGAACTGGCATCTTTATTAATGATATATCAGTTACTTTTCATGGAAATATATTATTTTAGATAATCATTTAGGCCAGTATTCATAGTCAGGCCATATATTTAAGGCTTCCTTAAATTTATCTTCAGATGCTGTACGAATTATTTCATTGGCTACTGAGCATCTAAAGATAGATTTAAGGAAGCCTTAAGTATAAGGTCTGACTATGAATACGAGCACTAAATTTTTGAGAATCTTTTTTTGAACATGGCTTGACCTTCTCATATTTATGATTTTTTGGGGTGAATACTTTGATTAATCATGGAAATATTCTCCGTTAACATCGATGACCTTACGCAATCTGTCGGACAATTGTCGGATTCCACCACGATAAAAGCTTGGTGGCTTTGAAGCGATGAAGTCATCGACGAAGTTTTCAGGTTTTTTCAGGTTTTTTCAGGTTTTTAGTTTTTCAGGATATATTAAATTCCAAGATAATTCCAGGATTCAAAGACATTCAAAGATCGCTAGACAGGCTGCTTCTCACTCTTGTTTTGACAAAACTGCTTAAGGCCAGACTCTGTTATTGGGTCTCTAGTATAAATTATATGATTTTAATAGATTTCTAAATATAAATTAACATAAATCATAATAGATCATTTTCGTACTACTTAAATTAGATTGATAATTATCCGGTCAAAAAGAATCAACTCTCTTTAATTCTGTACTGTACGTAAAATAATAGAAATTTAATATTGAAAAATGCAAAGATCACGTTTAAACCTTTAGACAACGAGAATATATGGAAAGAAACGGGTATATATCATACTTGATGTAAAGCTCTTATGACGTCTAATCCGGGTACTCCCGGTGATGGCAAGGTGCTCCTGAAGAGCCTTTGAAGAGACGGTTGGTCAGCTTCCATGCCTCCACCACCCCACCTAACGTTTTTGAATAGATTCTATTTTTGCCACGGATCATGCCGAATTTGCAGTTGCCCTTTGTTGTTTTTTTTTTGTCTTCGGCAAGATCCTTGCTTTTCAACAGCAAAATAGTTTTCATTCGATTCAATTAAATCTCTTCATATCTTGATATCTGTTTTGCTGCAAAATATGACATTACTTTTTTAAAAGATTGATCGTCATTAATATTATATAATATTAATACATACCTTTGTGTCATTCGTGTACTGCGCATTCCTTTTCTTTGAAATACTAAGAGTATTTGGTCAAATACCGGTCTTTCTTCTGTTTCTAAAAAAAGTTTGGTATTTGGAGAACACACACACACACACACACACACACACACCCACACCCACACCCACACCCACACCCAC